CAGAATATCCTGTCTGCTTCTTGTACTATGGATAACCACTAAGAAGATAACAATGTACAGTGTATTGACTATCAAAACTGTCCTATTAATCAGCCGTGAAACTATCTCATTCATATTTATTTCTCAATAAAAAAATAAATTAAAAATAAGATTTTCCTCACCTTTCATATAGGTACCAGAAATTTAAACTAAAAAGCAAAGAAATAACAGTACAATCTGCTACTTAAAAACTAAATGGGGGAAAACCTCAGAAGAAACAGAAGAGTTCAAAGCAGCTGGTTCTAGAAAGCAGGATTTCAAAACAGTAGAGCAGACAGAGGATTACAGCTTTTCATTATAAGTGTAGTGGTACTATTTAATTTTTTTAAAAAAGTCTTATATTCTAGTCTGACTAAAAAAAAAAGATGATAATAGTTTTTATTTTTATTTTTTTTAATATACATAATTTTATTACAATTTTTTTTAAAAAAAAACACAAAATGCAACATCCTAAACAACTCAAAACTTAACTATTGGTACTAGTTCCTGCAAATTTGTTGTGCTACCTTACACATGGAAGAAACCATTAAATATTTAGGAACATTCAACATCAAAAGCTTTAAAATCTAACTGTATGTAGTAGCCCCTCAAAAAGCTACAACCTGAATTTTTTAAAAAAGTATTTTTTTCTACAAAGAATTTTATTAGCTATACAAAAATCTGTACAGTTTTTATACTGAAGCTAATGTTGAGCTGCACTTGAATTCACATTCTTAGCAAAACAATTGCCTGAGCACACATACACTCCATATGCCATTACAGGACAGCCACTTATTCTTCATCTTCCTCCTCTTCCTCTTCCTCCTCTTCTTCTTCCTCCTCTTCCTCCTCATCTTCTGGTTCACTCTTCTTCTTTGAGCCTGTTGGCCTACCAGGGCCCTTCTTTCCTGCTTCACTTTTGCCCTTGGCACGGTATGCAGCAATATCCTTTTCGTATTTTTCCTTTAGCTTAGCCGCTTTTTGTTCATATGGTTGTTTATCTTTGGCTGACTGCTCAGACCACATTTCACCCAATTTTTTTGCAGTATCTCCAATGGACAGGCCTGGGTGTTCACTTTTGATCTTTGGGCGATGTTCAGAGCAAAACAGGAAAAAGGCAGATGGTGGTCTTTTAGGTGCATTTGGATCTTTCTTCTTTCCCCTCTTATCGCCAGCTTTGGGAGGAACGTAATTTTTCATCTCCCTGTCATAGCGAGCTTTATCACTCTTCGCCATATCTTCAAACTTCGACTTTTCCTTGGCAGACATGGTCTTCCATCTCTCCGAGCACTTCTTGGAGAACTCGGCAAAGTTGACCGAGGAGTCGGGGTGCTTCTTCTTGTGCTCTTCGCGGCAGGTCTGCACGAAGAAGGCGTACAAGGACATCTTGCCCCGCGGCTTGTTGGGGTCTCCCTTGCCCATGGCGGCGCGGCCTTCTTCCTCCTTTGCTGTGGTCCGCCGACCAAACAAAGGGGACCACTCGCCACACGGAGGGCCTGGAGTAGTTTTCTTGGAGCCCGACAGCCCCTTCTGGAATGGAAGCGCCTTTGTTTTGCTGCCGGAGCTGTTTATTGGCCCCTGGGAGTAGTAGCGCCTCATGTCTGCGCAAAGTGGAGTCCTGCAGTCGGGGGAGATCCTGTTCTTTTCCGTGTTTTACGCCCTTCTCGATAATAGTTTTTAAAGTAAGCTTGATTGTGTGGTACTAGAGCCTACCTTTCCAGAGGAACTCCTCAGCATAGCACCCCAAACTGGATTTTCTTGACTTCTGTCCACCTCAGCCTCCCTCCTGGTGACTGAATCAGCCCCTAGCCGCCTGTTCTGTATAGGTCACATGATATGCTGCCACTATTGTACCCCCCCTACCCCCCCACACCCCTCCCCCCCCCCCCGGCAGTCATCTAGGTTCCTTCTCCCCCTCTTCACCCATCCTCCTGCCTTAGAATCCTAGACATGAGCTGGGTCAGTAGATTCTGGCCCTGCAAGCCCTGGTCAACTAGCCTGCTCCGGTCTGGTGCACTTTGCTCCCCTGCCCCCTCAGCTTGCAAGTGCATAAGAAATTGTCTTCCCCACCTCTCCCTGTACCTACAGTGGGCAGCACTAAGCATGGCTGTCCAGAGATGGGCTGGCAAGATGGGCACAGGGCCCTCCCTTGGAGTCAGATGCTACCTCTGCTAAGGAAACCACTGAACCTACAGCCGGATCAGCCACCAGTCACTCCCCTGATTCATTTTGTAGCCACCAAATTCATGATCTCTTTCAAACTATGGTGCCAAATAATTGATACCTCAGCATAAATTCAGCCTATTTGGCTGTACAACATTTTATCTTGTTTTGGTTTTAAAATCTTGTTGTTGGGCCAGTGAGATGGCTCAGTGGACTAAGCGCCTGCTTAGACAAGTGCAGGGACAGGAGTTCCATCCCCTACACCACATGCCACACTGGCCTGGCTCCTGGGTGCACTGAGCAGGCCACCAAGACTGGGCATGGTGGTGCATGCCTGTAATCCCAGCACTAGGAAGGCTGAAAATAGGAGGATCACTAAGAGTCCAATGTGTGTAGTGAGACCCTATATCAATACATTAAAAAAATAATAAAATCTTGTTGTTTTGTCTCATCTGTGGACGAAGGAACACTATAGACAGCATACAATGCAGACTCAAAGCAGAAGTCACCAGCCACACGACTAGCAGAATGGACACTATCCTTCCAGACCCTCACCATCCCAGAGAGAGGCATGGCTGGACTGAACATGATTTTCAATGTGATCGAGGCAAGGGACTCTGGTGCCCCATTTTCTTATGTACTAACCATGGATATGCAAGGGGACAGATCCCGAGCTTTGCGGTCCAGGTTGCAATCTCACTAGCATGAGAAATAGTGTGGTCCTCACACAAGTTATGTGTGGATTTGCATATCCGCCTTGGTTTCAACTGGAGCTCTTAAAACCCTGCCACAGAAATAGGATTCAGCTGGGCCAAGCAGGTCACTAAGCAGAAAATTTGGTTTGTCTCTCCTATCTAGTCATTAGATATCGGACTATTGGTTGTTGTGTCTTCTTGTCCTATAAGTTTTGTGTCATTTACTCTTTATCAAAGCACTGATTAAAATACTAAATTAGTAAGGTCCATGAAAATGCCCTCTGTGGGCTGCCCTTCAGGATGACAATAAACAATGTGCTCTGTTAAACCAACAAGGTCTCCATCTAATATACTATCATCGGTCTTGCTTATCTAGTCTATGCCCAAAGATAGCGATTGTGGAGGACCACCTGAGCAGCTCTCCTTGAAAGAAGAGTGACTGTCTCCATTTTGACTGAGCCTGACCCTATTTCCTATTTACAGAGCTGGCTAGGACTTCTGTTTATCAATTGGCCTTAGGTAAATGTAGGCCACCCACCTAGCTCAGCTCACAATGATCACCTATTTCCCACAATTCTCAGTCAATCCTCCTCAAGCCACTGCCCCACTGAATAAAAACAGGGTGAGGCCCTGGGTTGCCTCTTGGTTCCGGAAAGCCATCTTCGTGGCTGGACTTAGAGCCCCTTGACTCCCTGATGATTGAAAATAGAATTTAGTGTCTTTATTTTCACCGTGGGTTGCATTGTAAGTGTTAGATTGGAATCAACTTGATGGGATTCCAATAACGTAACTTTGGGATTATAAATATTGGCTTCCTGGACCGAGACGAGGTCCAGGAAGTGTCTCCTACAAGCGATGGGTGCCTCTGTCCAGTTCCTGCTAAAGTCAAGGAACCTTACATTCATATCCAGTTCCGCCTTGCATCTGCAGGGTCGGGATGTGGACAGAAGGGGCTGGGAGGAAGGGAAAGGGATCCAAGAAGCCATGCAAGGCAGCATGGAAATGACACTCTTCATTGCCCTGGGGAGAGAAGAAACATAGCCTTGAGAAAAGCCCAGATCATTCATGTACTAGAGTAAATGTGTTTATAAATGTTCTCATCAAAAATTTCCCTCTAGTTTCAGACAGAACCCCCAGACAGGCTTGGTACCTAAAAACAGAGAACACTAAAAGGGAGAAGAAACAGAAAGCTTGGAAATGAAGGTCACTCTCCCACTTCTTTCTTTCTGGATACCCTCAGACAGCACTGGCCTCCTCACATGGAAGACAGTGAGCTGAAACTGTGTGACATATTAGACATTTTTTGGAACTATCCATTCCTCTTCAGCCAAGGCAGGGAGACAATGCATAATCCATACAGCTGAATTCCTCACTCCAAACTCCCCTAGGAAAGGGCTTGGGGTCCATCAAACTGGACCCTAAAAGAACACATCACTCCACTCAGGGCTCAGCTGTGGCATCACTCTTCTGTGGCCCTTTTGTGGCATCTTCTCCTGTGTTCCAGGAGAATATACACTGTCACTGAACCCATCGTGGTGGATGTGTAGACTGTTTACATGTCCATCACATCTACTCTGTTGTCAGCAGTGGGATTGAACGCAGATGCTGTGTCATTCATCTTTGCATTCCCAGGTCCTGGCATCTGCTACCCCTGGGCACACTGAGGGTCTTTAGAAAGGGTGAGGGTGGCATCATCCCACTTGCCCTTGCCTATTCCACCCAACCCAAATCAGCAAGCTTAGTGCTCAGCAATAGTAGCTGCCCAATAAACAGATGTTAAACAAATGAAGCCAAGTATATGCCTGCCTGGGAGAAAGGTCCCAGGACAATACTTACTGAGCTGCCTGCATAGCTCATCCCTGCCCTTGACCGGCCAAGGCCCCTGGAGGAGCCCTGTGGCAGCCCACTTGGGCTTCCCCTCAGTGTGACTATAGAAATCCAGAGAAGGAGGGTCTCCTTCCTGGGGCACCCCAGAAGCCTCAGCGTGGGAGAGGCCCTGCATCCAGAGGACACAAGGCTCAGCACCTATCTCAGAGCAGGAAGCTGAGCTGGAACCCATAGAGCACGGGTGTGGGCCAGAGCCAGGACAATTAGAGTGGGGCTGAGGTACACAGGATGTGAGAAGTGACCTTGTGCACAGGCTTGTGGAGGGGACATCCCAGTCTTTAGTGCTCCCCCGCATGGGTACTCTATAATGAGTCTCCCAGTACCATCCCATTTCCAGCTCTACAAGGCTCCTGGTGCTCACAGGAGTATGTCTGAATTACCTGCCTGAATGCTTAATGACAGACACAGGGAGCAGGCAGCTCGTGTGTGTGTGTGTGTGTGTGTGTGTGTGTGTGTGTTGCAGAAGAGGCAGTGTCTTTCCCTTCTTTTGCAATTATTTGTGGCCGACTGTACTGCAGACTTCTATTTTCAGTGTCTCTGTCTTACAGGAGCTGTGTCCACCTTCCCTGTGCTGTCACCTTCAACACTCCTGAGTCTCTGGCTAGAGAACTGACCTGTTTCCCCAAGCGAGGCTTTCCTGAACCCTTTCCTCAAGTTTAGCACTCACACCTGCAGGCCCTGCTGTGACCCAGGCTGACACAACCATCTTCTCCCAGAGCCAGTCAGTCACCTTATGGCCAACCAGTGTTCACTGGGGCTGGTTAGGCCAGTGTAGTTCTTTCCTGTCTCCTCCACTTCTGAGCTATGGAATTACCCATTGCGCCAATCAATAATTCATCAGATTATCCTCATGCAGTCTAAATTAGATCGCAACACCCCTGGCTAGACTTTGAAGTCTTGCCTTACCTGACTCCACCACATGGCCAGCTTTGCAATGAAGTCCAGCCAGCTCGCTCTCATGCCAGGCTGCTCTCTCCACAGCCTACTCAGTCTTAGCTCTGTCTCCTCCCCATATACCGGCAGTGGTAAACCTACCGCACTTGTGCTGCAAGGAGCTGTTTGTACCGTCAGAAGCTCTAAATGGCTCACCATCACTGCCTAGACGATATGAATTTTTTTATTGAAACCCAACTTGCTCTTTAAGATCTCATTTCAAACCTCAACCTCACCATGGGCATCCCTGGGCTTCTGCTGCAGACAGAAGTATTTTCCAATTAGAAGCATACAATTTTGCATTTAATTGCACTCCATTTGTTTGATATTTTCCAGCTCTGTCTTCCCACAGAGTTGTTAAGCAATGCAAGGGCAGGCCACTGTCACCGACTCCCTTGGTCGCCCCGCAGCACCACGTACTTGCTGAGTTCCTGCAGTCTTGCTTCCTTGGTTCTTCCTAAACTCCTCCTTCCTCTTAATCTGAACTACATTTAATCCTTCAGCCCACAGTGGCGCTTTCCCCTCCAGTCATCAGGGATTAGACCCAAAGAACATGATTAGACTCTGGATCAGAATATTGTGCAAGAGAAGGCTGGCGCTGACCTGAGGAGCCGATGATAGAGATTGAGAGGAGTGGGTGGATTTGGGAGATAAAGAAAGTAAAGAGAGACTCCATTTATCCAACTCTCTTGTTTCCAAAGCACATTTGCATCTATTACCTCCTCTCACCCCTAACCATTCATGCAGTA